TTAGGCTTATTTTATGCTTGGTAGCTCAACACTTTTTGACGAAGAAGATACTATGTCTGTCTACTGTGTGCATTACCCTGCAGTTATAGCTTAGTAACAGTAATGTTTTGTTTCAATATTTTATATTAGCATTGTGTAATGCGAAAGAGGATATTCATCCAAATCTGCAGTTCTACAGTTCTAGCCTCTTTAGCCTCTTGTAGCTCACTATTTGTATTTTATGGCCCATTTACTGTTTCGCATCAACCTTGTTTCGAGCAACATGCAGATATTTTCTGCAAGCAAGCTCTGGTAAACCCACCGTACACTACCTGCCGGCACCAAGTGTGGTCAGAATGCGCTTCAATAAGGATCAATAAGCGATAGCAGATTGCTGTGGGGCAGGTAAGATATTTAAGTAAGATCAAGCTAAAACTCGGAGGTAAGACCTGCTTTAACTCCTCAGACTGGTTATCTACTTGACAAAAACATATATTCAGTGGCTTTGGTGGTCTGTGTGAAGTCAGGTGTGTGACAGTGGCGATGAAATGATCAAATACAGAACGGTAAGTATTCGCTATGCAGTAGATAATCATGTTGGGTAATCATCAAGTAATGCTTGCAATTAATTTGTCAGATTCTAAAACACTACCAGATAATTATAGTTATAGTAGTAATACCAAGTTGCAGTATGTGCTGGCATCAGTGAAGGCGCACTGTAATAAACACTGTGCAGTAGCGCTGTACTTTATTTACGTTGTTCACAGCACTAACTTTACGGATTTCTTGGTATTACAGCTTCTAACTTTGAGAGCGCACACATGGTGTGGTCCTATGTGAGCTTCAGTGCTGACACACATCTGTGTGATGTGACTTTGTGGTGCCAACAAACAAGGCAGCATTCAAAACAATGATGATTTTTAAATGGCATAAACATATAACAATGGCATTAAGAAATAGAGTGTAATATCAAGAAAGGACTCATTATTTCACATTAACTACAACACCTGATGAGAAGAAACATTTTTGCACTGTTGAATTTGCAATTGTTGTTTCCAGTGTTGGGAGACAAGATCTTTCTGTGTATTCAGTACAGGGTTATGTCTGGGGTAAGGAAGACTTGGATATAGCATCAGAGGCGGGGCTCCGTTCATAAGTTGCTTAGTGAAGCATGAAGCCAAACAAAACCACTTCCTGATGTAAAGAAATGACTCCGATGCATGCATACTGCACATACCCTATGCTAGTTAGAACGGTTTACACATCCAATAACAACATTATCACTGGAGTCATGTTTCTATTCAATGCTGAACAGATACTGAGGCCAATACCAATATTGATATTTGAGTTAATTGTATTTGTTTCTTTATGTAAATACCATTTTTTGGTTAATGATCTCATTTGTTTAGTAATTAAAGAATTGTGACTGAGATATGTAAAGAGTGGGACACTTTAGGTAGTAGAAAATACAATTTGGAACAATGTTAGTGACATTTTATAAACATACAAACATATCCTTGGCATCTCCACCTATTTACGTGCGCATATCGATATATCTGTTTATCTGGTTATAGTTGCTAACTGCATGTAGTGAGTTTATCAGGGCTCGTCTGCTGTTCTGGTAAAAAAGGTTGACGAGATCAGTTAGAATGACCAGCCATTAAATCAAAATAATGAGTCAAAAGAGGCTAAAAAGCTCAGTGGAGCCGGCAGTAACCCTCTGTGGGCTTGTCAACATCAGTGACCCCTTTCACATTACACGCACTCATTTTTTACAGTGTTAATATAAGAAATACTGACTAATGCAGCTCTCCAACAATTCCAAAGCTGACTTATGTGCATGTTGGCCTGCTCATTCAGCGTGGGATAAAAGAGAAATGTACAGTAAAAACAAGACATTGTGGTTTTGGGAGCAGTTAGCGTTTGAACTATTTCCTGATTAACAACAGCTGGGCACAACAACTGCAAGCAGCATCTCAAAAGGCCTCTCCTGAACACTGACTCAAACATGGATGAAAGCAAGATGACTCTTGGATGTGAATAAGACGGCCTACAAGTTGTAGGAAAGTGATCAGTTTCGATGGAGCTGGCAGTTTCCCTTTGCTCACCTCAGACTAGACACAAAGAGACACTGAGGCCAGTCTTCTTATCGGACTGTATGACAGCAAGTATTTACCAAAATATTTTTTTTGACCTCATACCTACATGCTCACTACTACCTGTTCTCTTACTAGTTTTATTGCATCTTGTTACAACTTCATATTCCTGCACCACACAAACTACACTGTAATAACACAATCTGATATGAGATATATGAGATTTCTTTTTACAGTGACAATATAATTTCCCAATTATTACTTCATCTTGCCTCATAAATGTGTACTACATATTCGTATAACAGTGTCCAATAAACCCTTTCCCTCCTCCAAGCAGGGTGGGACATTAGACACCAGCCAAATGCTAGTAAAACATAAAAGTAGCTGGTAGATTTCAGACACAAAATAATGACTTACTACTGAGTGGATGGTGAAAGTGAACATTTAACTGTCAGTGGCTGCTAGATACTCCCATTTAAAATAAAAACATAATATCCCACCCTGCCTGCGAGGCATGAAAACACTGAATCTCCAGCTCATCACAACGGAGTCTTTAGATATCTGAGGATAGCCGAGCCTCCATGCTGTATTCAATTATTGGTTCACTGCTTTTCAGTTTGTTCATGTTGCCATCATATCGTGACACTGTGCATCATAATTACGCTGATGACACACAAGACAAATAATACCATAACATCCTCTGCAGTGACTACATCTCAGAACTGAGTAGCACAGATCCAGCTCCTCTAAGAACACAATGTAATGTAGGTTGATAAAGTATGACAGCTTGTTTCTCTGTGAACTTACACAGCTATTACAGTGCTGTTTGTATCTGCTCTATACACACTTCCATACTGTCATACTGCCTGTAATTAGTTAAAACTATGGTTTTAATATTAGATAAGAAGATATCTTATCTAATATTAAAACCAAAACTTTAGTAGTAATTTAGTAATTTGATTTAAAGGTCATGTGTGCGACATTCAGGAGGATCTATTGGCAGAATATTATTATTATTATAATTATATTCATAAATATGTTTTCATTGGTGTATAATCACCTGAATATATAATAATATATATACAGCTGCCTTCCATGCAGTGTGCCATGTTGAACCACTATGTTTCCACAGAAGCCCTTAATTGAGGTCCAGCTCCAGACTCTGAGTGATTGGACTGCATTATTAGCAGGGATGTACACAATACAGGGGTTACAATTCAATATACTGCAATGTATTGTGATACTGTAAGCAAGGCGATGTATTGTGATATCTATGATGTATTGTACAAAGAACACACCACCATACTCCACCTCATAGCCCTCAGTTTACTTCTGCTGTTTAAAGGCCGAAATCCATACGGTGTTTTTGAGAATCGATGCAATATCACTAAACTATATGTCACCATATTCAACGATATTTTTTACACGCCTAATGGGGAATGCAGTGTAATCCAGTTTCCATTAACAAAATACAGTTTCTCCCTTATTAACAGGGGACATGACATTTTATAGGATTTCTTCTTGTATACATATACATATAACATAATGAGCAGATGTAAGCTGTGTAAATATGAAAGCATAAGCAGGTGTACATTTAATGCTTTTGTGAAATAAAGGATGCATCTCTTTCATTACACCGGTTGTCTGGCTTATGCGTGACTGGAGGTCATGGCTTATCCCCAGCATTTAATTCACCAGCACATAATGTGATACATGTACAGCCCGGGCAGCCAGGGGGAGCATTAAAGGGTTAACGTTCAGGCGCGTAAATACTGTGTTCCTCGCTCTCTGAAGGGCTTGTTCGCCAAACGAAACACGATTAACAAACCATCCCTTCCCAAAAAGACACCCCGAGTGAAGCCGAACAGCGTGAAACACGCCAAAACAAAGGCAGAGTGCGGGGACAGTTAGTGCAGACACAACCGGGACAGCGGGAGGGAAATATAGCACGATGATAACAGGGATTTGGCTCAGATCATTACATCTTATATACGGCGGGGAAAGTGATGAGCGGTGGCGGACGACACGTCTCCGTTGAATCGCAGTGAAACAAAACAGCCGTTATCTGTAGCTCCGAGTGGTGACAGAGCAGCTCGGTGGTCGTTACAGCGGCTCCTCTGTTAGCCCGCTAAAGCCCTCCACCACGGGCTATTGTCAGCCATAGCTGCCGCCTGGCAGGAAGGCTGCGCCGAGCGGGGCTCAGCTCCCAGACTCGGGTCGTGATTTTCCACCGTGCTCTGTGAGAACAGTCGGTAAAAGCCAGCCGAATGGTTGCATGTGACAACATTTACAGATAAAATATATACTAAATGTGGCCCTGAGAGCGGGTATGAAGAGAGGTAAAGGGGGAGAAATGAGCAGCGAGTCCGCCGAGGCTTCCCCCGCTGCCCGTTCGTTACGGCGGGGACGGTTAGTTTGTGGCTATGCGGGGATGTTAAATACCCATTAAGTGCAGTTAATAGACGAAGCCCCGCACCGAAATCACTCAATAAAGCACCGTAACTTTTTATACGGGGAATCTGTTTAGTGTTATTCGCGAAAAAATGTCACAACCCCGGTCGGCTATATTTAACTCCGCCTTCTTCTTCTTCTCCAAGCGGCCTCTCTTCAGATGTAGACGGGCGACTGAGAGCCACAAAGCTGTCAAACGCACCGAGACCTCGCCATTTTTGTTTGTTTTCCACAAATGCAAACCGCCACAAAAACACACACACACACAACGGTAAACAATCGTGCCTTACCTGCCGTGGAACCAGTCCTTGCAAGCATCGCACTCGATCATAAACTGGGTCACGTCGTAAGGTAATCTGCAGATGCAATATACTGGTACAGTCGCCATGTTCAATTCACAACTACGTCGGGATAGACTGGGGGGGCTGCAGGAGGAACAACGTCCTGCAAACAATATGATCCAATATGATCTTCCCCAGAAAAAAAGCCAGGGGCAGACCCGCCGGACTCATGAACCTAAGCGCACATCTCCATCGCACCGCGGCCGTGTGCTGCGAACGGCGGAGGCTCGGCGTAGCAGGCTTTCCTCAAATGCATTATTATTATTATTACTATGTGCATGCCCCCTGGTGACTGTACGGCACCGAGGCGGTCATGTTAGGGAGCCAGAGGAAAATGTAGCGTCGATGTGGTTGCAAAATAAATAAATAAATAAACAAATGCGAAAGTTACGTCAGGGAGCTGGTTTTAAATCAGCGGAGCCCAAATGAGATGAATGAAAGCCCCGATCAACCAACAATGCAGCCATCGGAAATGTATTTGTCTATTTTAATCAGAGCACATGAATGCAGCACACAGGCCAAATAACTGCCTTTTATTGTGAGACAGATCACATTACAGCCTATTCTTTAGCTATTATTACATCATTATTTAATAGACCTATAATAATAATAATAATAATAATAATAACAACCCAAATAAATAACGGCATTCATAAAGTGCAAAATAATAAATAAAAGGTATGATTATGTATATTACAATATATCAGAGTATAATATCAAGCATAATATGTGTATATCTATATATATATGTAATTATGTTTTGTAAATTTGTATTGTATTTTGTATTATGTAATTACACACGTCATTCATTTTTTTGTCAAATATCATAATTTACAGTAAATATAATGTTTTCATTTTTTATATTTGGACATTGACCCTACAATTACACACATTATGATAATAATAACAATTGAATAACAGCATTTAAAAAGTGCAAAATAATAAATAAAAGGTATGATTATATATTATAATATATAGTATACTATATTATCAAGCATCATTTATACTGTATATACCAAATACACACACACATATACGTATATATAACTAAATGAAATGAAATTAGTAGGGACCAAGTGTTAATTATCTGCTGGAATCACAGTGTGAAGAAGGAACTGAAACTAGAGATGCACGATAATTATTGGGACAGATCAATTATTGGCTGATAGTAATAATTTGGAATTCTTATGCTACTGATAGACTTCCTGTTGTATGAAAGCCAAAGTGTGTTTGTGAAGCTTTCTGATGAACTTTACAGAAACAATAGATGAACATTTGAAGCGTGAGATATGTTGTTTGTTGCTATGTTAACAATAGTGAGGTCAGTTAGATTTGGTGAGATCAGAGCTGTGGAATATTCAATCATCCATCGTTGCTCACTATATCTCGGCCTTTCTGGCCATCAGGTGTGTAAAAACTGAAGCGTATGAACTTCTTGTTAAAATACAAAAATGGGAGTTATCTATCGGTCTGAGAAGCAGGTAATTATCGTATCGGCTGAAAGAATCCACACTGTGCTTCCCTCACTGAAACAACATTTACACTGTGACCTGGGGAGGTAGAACCTACAGAAACTATTATGGTTTTATATTAGGGACTTAATAAATACAGTTGTGGTGTTATTTTAAGCACTCCTCTTACAGACAAGCTGTTACAGAGATTGGCTGGTGGTTGGTGGGGGTCTGCTGGGGGAGTTTGGCACTGGCCTGTACGGAGCATTACTGTATTCATCAGTGGAAAATGATGCCTTCACAGTAGTATTCACACATTTCAATCATAAGAACTAGAGTCCAATAGATTCATTTGCATAATTACATTCATTTGCAGAAGCACAACAATATTGAAGAAATTATTTTTCAACTGACTGATTAATCAAAGCAATCTGACTGTTCTACGAACTCCTTTGCTACGGAACTGTGGCGGTGTTAAAGCTTTGTATCAAACTATGAAACTAATATGTGTGTCATAATGCAGCACACAGGTCAAAGTTCACCCACATCAGCTCTTTAGCATCTTTTATTTACATTTGCAGTGATATTATGGTAAGGTAAACTATGACAGGAATCAGTCTTCTTCTAGGGTCCTGATAAAAAAAACAGCATTTTGATTATGAAGAGATCAATCGCCATCAACAAATAGCCACATTTAGTTTTTTACCTTTACCTAAAATGTTTTTAATTTCTCAGAAATGATTTTCCCCATAATAAATGTGACTTCATTCACTTTGGTTTAATATAACAGACCACCTTTTGGATAAATAAAGTGTTGAATACAGATTTATATCAAGCACAAAAGTTCATTCTTCTCCTTGGAAGCAGTACTTTGACGAAACAATCCCAAATCAAAGGTCCACTTATACGTCTCCCCCGAAGCTTTAAACTGTATCACACAGTGCTCTTCAGTGGAGTTTGCCTGGTTGTCATGGCGATAGCTGTTAGCATGCAATTTCACTAGCTGTTATTTCATCCGTAGCACTTTCTTCCAACAGATCAAACTCCCTCTGTTGATGAAGACTGTGATGTGGCTGGAAGCTCTGGAGAAAGATAGTTAGGATTGTTTTGTCTGAAATGCGTAACCATGATAATTGTAGGTTTAACTAAGCCATCTCTTCTGCCTTAACTGGTCTTTAAAATCCAAGGATCAGCTTAAGATATACAGACGGGTATGGAAGCCCATTTCTGCCAATGTGACAAAAACAAGATTCAGTAAGTCATTATGAGAAACTTTCTCAATACTTTGACTTAGTATTTTTAAATAATGACAGTGATAAGGAGTCATTATACATTAAATGTGAGCGTTTCAGCCCTAATTACTGAGGTCTTTCTTACAGACCTAAATGCAGATGTCACTTCAGTCGCTGTTCCTGCTGAAGAACAGCTCCTGCCATCCGTGCCCAAACAATATGAGCCTCACTTAGATCTTTTCCTCTCTTCACCATCTTGATACAAAATCTGAATCAGCTGGGCCTTCATACACACAACAGAGCATGATTGGATGTTAAAGGTCCAGTGTGTAACATTTAGGAGGATCTACTGTCAGAAATGGAATATAATATTCATAGGTATGTTTTCATTAGTGTATAATCACCTGAAAATAGGAA